TTCAAATTGATTTCAGAGAGGAAGGGAGAGGGAGAGATAGAAACATCAATGGTGAGAATCAAAATTGGCTGCCTCCTGCAGCCCTCCCGCCCCCACCGGGGATCGAGCCATAGGCCGACGCTCAACCACTGAGCCATGCCGGCTGGGCCCTTGTAAGCTTTCTTAACTGGAGCAAACCAGAGATTCGTTGAGGGCTTATTTGTGTTTGCGTGGTCTCAAGAAGGGTAATTTCTAAACTGGTGTCTTAATGTTGATAGTGAAGCTCTAAATTAACTAGGAAAAACCTCAGGTCACCTGTCTTGAACTTAAAAATTAGATCCTTGATTTTTTTATGTCTGGACAGAAGCGACCAAAAAATTTTATTTCCATTTAGATTTTTACTAATGTGCTCTTAGTACTAACTGAAGTGCTTTTCCCTGCCAGTTGTTATAAAGTTGGTTGTCTTCCCTGTTGTGGCAGAAGAAATAAAGATGTGAATTAAGTTCTCCTAAAGAAAAGACAGGCAAATGAACAGGAATGATGGGTAATTATAATGAGAGAAAAAAAATCAGGCTTAGGGTGAGAAACTAAATCTAGTGGTTAGGAAAGCCTCTTTGAAACGCTGGTATTTTAAGGGGTGACGGCTATGGGAAGCTTTTGGGAAAAACATCCTATAAATGGTAGATTGTGATCAAACCTTGTGTTGTACTGTCACTCCTGGACCCCTGCTGCAGCCATGATGGGGAAGAAGCTAGAAAAATATGCCCCACTGACAGCCACCCACTCCCCATCCAGCTGCCAGGTGACTGACTGCATGAGGTCCCAGGGCAGATAGCCCAGACAGCTGACTCGCAGAATCACAGGGGATAGAAGGGGCCGTGCTCAGCCACTAAGCGCTGGGGATGGTTTGCTACCCAGCACTAGATAACAGACATCAGTCCCCATGGTGAAGTGAACACCTGAGTCTTCATAGGTTTTTAGATCAAAAAGACTAGTGGGGAGGGTAGTATGAAATGAAGTCAGAGAAGGTAGGCAGAAGCCAGAGTAAGGTGTATCTTGGGCCATAAAGGACCTCAAATGTGATGCTAAGAGAAATTGGAAGCTGTTTGTTAGCGCTGTTCAGACTTGACCAAGTTGAATCAAAAGACAGACACAAGACTGGTTGATTAACTGTACAATAGCATGATATGTTTTTTAATCTCTAATAAAATTAACCAGGTGCCTTGTTTTTTAGCCTTTGGGTACATGGTTTGACTAATAATTAAACCTTAGAAGACTAAAATACCAGTTACGCTTAAAGATAGTTTTATAAATATAAGAACACCAACTCTGGCTAAGCCTTCTGTTATGTCTATTCTGCCCTGCTACATACTTTTTTTGAAATAAACTTTTAAAACATAAACCTTGTAGCGTTTTCGGTGCATAGAAATATTGCTGGCTGAGGCGGTATTGAGAGTTTCCCTCTCCCGACAGCTTCCTGCCACTGATCCGCGTTAGTCTGGTGCCTTCTTCAGACTAATCGGTACCGATACATTGTTAGCTAAAGTCCATAACTTTATTCAGGTTTTCTTAGTTTTTACCAAATGTCCGTTTTCTGTGCCAGGATACCACCTTACCTTTAGTTTTCATAATAACTCCTTAGAGTCAGCTGGGCTGTGACAGTGTCTCAGACTCTCTTTAAATTTCTCAGCCTTGACATGGGGAGCATATTGGTTAGTTGTTTTGAAGAATGCCCCTCAGTTGGACTTGTCTCGGGTTTTTTGCATGATGAGATGGGTTACAAGTTTCAGGAAGATGGGAGGAAAGAGCCCTTCCATCCCGCTGTATTAGGG